CTGCCTGCCTGCCTATATACTACACTTGACTGAATTTGTTTCTAATGAAAAAAAAAAGAAAAGTTTTTTATTATTTTATTTTATTTTTTTTTATGCAATGCAATGCAATGTAATGCAATGCAATGCACCTAACTGGTGCATTAGCAGACCTGGAACCTAGACAGACATTTTCTTATTTGATTAATATTGATAGAATCACTACATTATTATTTATTTTATTTTATATTTAATTTGATCATTTAATTTAATTTAATTTTTTTTATATAATTGCACCTAATTGGTTCATAAAATGCCCGCAGTGAGCAGAGCTGGAATCTATGAAGACATATTTTATTATTATTATTATTAAACTAATATTTTTAGAATTACTACATAATTCTCATACTTTTATTTTATTTTATTTCATTTATAAATGCACCTAGTTGGTTGAGAAAATGTCCACAGTGTGCAGAGCTGGAATCTATCTAGACAGATTTGATTAACATTTGTAGAATCGCTACAGAATTCTCATACTTCCATTAGTGTTATTATTTCTCAGTCTTTTTTCACAGGTGCAATACCGCCTCCAGCCTGAGTGGCGCTGTTTGTCATCAGACTCCCACTTCAGCTGCGAGCTATGTCTGAGGAAGCCGCAGAAGAAACTTTGACCACTTCAGTTGTTAGCCTAGCAGCGGAGACACACATCTCCTTTATTGTTTACCAGTCCCGTATTTATTCGACTAGCCCGTTTAAAAAGATGTGGTTTATTTATTTACTCAGCTGGTTGTCGCTGGTGGTGCAGATATGTTTCGTTACTCTCGCTATCGGTGAGTTTTATGTCGCTGCTGTTAGCCGCTAACTCCCTTTTGCTGACGCGACCAAAGAAATCCCACAGCTCCTGTGCCTTATTATCTGTAAAATATCTGTTTATTATTAATTAATAGTAGCCTATGGTAAAAAAATAACGTTGTAGAACAGATTAACAGTGGACTGAGCTAAAACAAAGCACAGGTCACATCTCTTTGCCTAAAATCATCATAATAATTAAGCTAATTGTGTTTCAGGCTTGCATTTGTTTTTCTGTTTCATATTGTAGTGTTGCAGAATACAGGACTGTATCGATTACTAATCGCTCCACTCATTTATATGACATCCATTAGGGAAAAGTCACATCTCTGAGTTTATCTATGTGTTAACTCGATTGTCTATTGCAAATGAATGATGGATATTTTTCCTCTTTTTTTACTGGCTAATTTTCAACTAAGTTAGTGTGGTTGGCACGTGCTGATTGTGGACATTGTCGTAAAAACCGTACAAATGTCTCTGTCCTCGTATGCAGATGTAATAAAAATGATGACTGAGAATTTGGCAGCCTTACAAACCAGCAGTTATATATGTACCTGTATTTATACACCTATGCTTACTCTATGGATGGGTGGATAAACAGACAGACAGAATCAGATAGATAGATATAATGCATTACAAAAGTATTTTAAATTTATTAATTATGCCTTGTAATGCACTCTAGGATCCCATGAATAATTGTAACCACAGTTACAACACATTATAATACTTGTCTATTCATTGATTCACTTTTAGAAGGTATAATGCAAATAGACAACCAATTTCAGATGTAACAAGGAATCTGCAAATATTATAATGCATTTTAATTTCAGTTACAGTTATTTATGAAAAGATATAATGTTTATTATTAATGCATTATGCATAAAGGCTTTAAGTAAAGTGTTGTCTTATCCAGTCTGTTTGTATAAGGTTGTAGTTTTTCTCCGTTTGCTATTTGTCTTCACAGCTGCAGGCCTGTATTACCTGGCAGAGTTAATAGAGGAGTACACAGTCGCCACCAGTCGCATTATAAAATATATTATTATGGTGAGTATTACCTTTGTAGTAACGTTTATTTTGACGTGTGTGTCATTGCATTGGTGATGCTTGCATAGACTAATATTGGTGGAACTCCAGCCATATCTGGTGACCAGAGTATCATGCTGGACACAAATCCTTTTGAATCAAATTCAGACTGTCTCCAGTGTAATTTGCCAGTGAGAATTGCATGCATTTGTCAATATCCATCGGTTACTTTAGTAAGCATCAGCACAATGTTTTCTCCAACAGTTCTTCAGACAGTATCGCATGCTTTTTGTGATGTTTGGTTACATATGCTTCACGTTAGGGCTGTGCGATATGGACAAAAAAAACCTATCGCGATTTCTTTGATCAATTTTGCGATTCCGATTTTAATCACGATTTTGACACACACAGACATGCTTTACAGTCATAAATGCATTCAGTGTGAATTTGAAACATATTTCCAAAAGAAAACCAATTAGAGCTTTATCAAGAAGCTGTAACATGTCTCTAGAACAGCAATCGCGTGCAGTGTGAACGCTCTGATCCGTTAACATGGGCGTGGACAAAATACGCACCACAGACGGAGTATGTGAACCTGGCGTTACGTTTGTATGCCCGCCCGGTCTGTTCTGTTCTCTTGCTCCATTTAGGCGCACTGCATTCTGATTGGTTCGGAGAGCATACTGCGGGAGATCGGGGGCGCGGAAAATCGTGCTATAAAGCGATTTAGAAATCACGCATGCTCAAATCACGATTTTATGACGATTTCAATTAATCGCACAGTCCTACTTCACGTCTCATCTAACTTGTACTCTCATCTCTCAGTTCTCCACAGCAGTGCTGGTGGGACTCTATCTGTTTGAGGGCTTCCCCACGCTCATGATCGGAGTGGGTCTCTTCACCAACCTTGTTTACTTCGGTCTGCTTCAGACGTTTCCATATATCATGCTGACCTCGCCAAACTTCATCCTGTCATGTGGTGCGTGATGAAGAGCATCTTAGGAGACATATTTTACTATGATCTCTGTGCTTGTGTTCTCCTCTCATCTGTGTCTTTGCTCTCTTTTGCAGCACTGGTTGTGTTCAACCACTATATGGCCTTCCAGTATTTTGCGGAGGAGTACTATCCTTTCTCTGAGGTTGGCTCTTTTTCATTTTAAAGACTTAAACCACAAAAATGCTGCTTAAAGGATGTTAGAGTTTACTGTGGGATGGAGTTCAGACTAATGTGTGTGTGTTTTCAGGTTCTAGCGTACTTCACTGTATGTCTGTGGGTGATTCCATTCTCCTTTTTCGTTTCTCTCTCTGCTGGGGAAAATGTTCTTCCATCCACTATGCAGCAGGGAGGTGAGTGACAATCTGACAATCAAAGCAAATTGTGTTTTCATACAGTCTATATGACCACACGGGTGTGTTAAACTATAACTTAAACTATATCCTTATCCTTAAACTGTCCTTATATACTGTACTTTCAGGGGTGATTGAAATACTGGTGTATAAATTACATTTGTAGAAGTCTGTGTAAAAAGTAATGGGATTGAGTGAATTATCTCTGGATATGTTCAAAATGTTAAAAAGTGGGCAAAGTTCGCTTCAGAATCGATGCAAAATCTTTCAGTTAAAATTTTGTTTGGTTTTAAAAAGCGTAGATAACATAGTTTAATACATAGTGCATAATGTATAAAATAACTTATTTAATGGCATTATTTAATGCCATTTAGTATAATTGTAAGAAGTACATTTTAAATAAAAAATCAATTTTAAAAATTTGCATTTTAACACTGAAAAATTTTCCAAAAATGTGCATTTTTATTGCACATTGTTTTTTTCAGTCTAATTCAATAATGATAAATAAAATAATAAAAATATAGATTTTATTAAAAATATATATATTTTTTTTTTGTAATTCTTACCTTCAGAAAATATTCAGATGTGCATTTTACTTGGAACACTTTAGATATGCATTTTACTTGGAATTAATACTTACTTAATACTAATTATTAATTAATTAATTAAGTCTAATTACATAAAACTAATAAATAAATATAATAAAAATAATTTATTTAAAATATTTTTTTGTAATAAATGTGCCTTCAAAAATAATCAAATATTAATTTAACTTTGAGCATTGTTTCACAGCCTAATAAAAATAAATAAATAAATAAATAATCCAAAATAAAAATAATAATTTTATTAAAAATAAATTAGCTTTAAAAAAAAAAAAATTTGATATACCTTTATTCAATATGCATTTTACTTTGAACATTGTCTGATTAAATAAAAATAATAAATAAAATAATAAAAATAGATTTTATTAAAATAAGTTTTTAAATAAAGCTTTTTTGGAAATTCACATACCTTCAAAAAATATTAAAATATGCATTTTTCAGTCTAATAAAAAAATTGTAATAATAATATTAAAAATAAATGTTCTGTTGTAATTTACATGCCATCAAAAATATATGGGGTTCCATTTTAATGTGCATATTGTGATATTATCATCAGAATGTTACAAAATAATGTCATATAAATTTTTACTGATCACCCACTTCCATCCAGACATTTATAACAGTGAAGTCTAAGTCCTATTGAACTCCTGTTCATTATTCCCTGTTCCTGTGTTTTTCTCAGACGATGTGGTGTCAAATTATTTCACTAAAGGCAAGCGGGGCAAGCGCTCGGGCATCCTGCTCATCTTCTCTTTCCTGAAGGAGGCCGTTTTGCCAAGCCGACAGAAGATGTACTGATGAAGCGGTTCATATGAGCATCGGACGGAGGGGTTTGGGAGGGTTTGTTCAGGCCACCGGCCCCTTTCAGTGGACAGCTTGTTTTTGTGGGAGAATCGATGATCATGAGATTGAATCTGTAGCCGAGGGAGAGGACCAGATCAGAACAAACGCACATAAACCCTCGAATGAACTTACCTGTCTGTTGTTTCATGTCCAGAGTTGCCAGCTAATTTCTTCTTAGGCGTCTAAAGACATGAAAGGACACGAGAAGTCTTTCATTCGTAAAGGCTTGATCTTCTGTCTATACGTGGATGATTGTGGAAGGGGCTTCGGCTTCTCTAGAGGCTCCTGCTGATTTTCTTCTAATCGCATCACTTCGAAAGCCAATTCGCTCATGAATGAATTAATGTGTCTGGATTTTTTGTTCACATTTCAAAGAAATGTTTTACCCTGAATCCAGTGTTTGTTTCGCTCACTCTTCGTCACGTCTTACACTACAACGTATTTGTTTAAGGTTAGACTTTAAGCAAGCCATTTTTTAATAACCTGATGTTGAGTCAGTTTCAGTAAGGATTTGTTTGTGTTGATTTATAAATCCATTTTATATCAGCTGGTGGTGTGACAAGCAAAGAAAAGCTCTTTTTAGGGTAAAATGTTGCTTTAAATACTGCAGTCATGAGAGCCATAGTGTTGGCCATGCTTAATTTGTGTGCTGTACAGGAGTATAATAAAATTCAGTTGTATGAGTTTTTGAAAGGTAAACGTTGTCATGTACAAATGAGGATCTGATGCATCGTGGGTGAATCTCAGAATCAGAAACAGATCGACAGAAGAAAATGAAGGCTTTTTTAGCATTATTAAGATAAAGCGATTTGAACGTTGTTTTTTCCAGTCTAATAAATTAAACGTTTTAAATAAATGTGCTTTTGTAATTAAAAATTTGCCTTCAAAAAAATTTTCATTTAAAAAAAACTGTCAGTCAGGATGACATTTAAATTTTTCTAAGGTCTAAAAATGTGTATATTAGGGGTGTGCGATATATATCGTTTGCGATAATATCGTAATTGTTGTTTTAACGATGTGCGATTTGACCGAGTATTTTGCAAAAAACTTTCAAAACACCCCTACAGAGTGCACGCATACATTACATGAAGTCTAGACTAGAGTGCTGATGATCCAGTCTATCACTACATTTAGAATGATCACAAATTCAAGACATGGGGGGCAGAAAATGTACATATTTATACCACTTCAAATAGCCTAGTTAATCAATTTCACACGAAGAGTGCCGTTTTTTTCTCCAAAAATGACAATGATTACAAATGTGATATTGATTTTTTACAACAGTTCAATAAACAAGAAGTTAATTAAGAGACTTGCGCTTTAGACACCATATTTCCTGTTTTTGCGCTATTTCGACAACAAAAAATAACTCCAAACACAACCACAGCGCTGTTTTGCGTCTCTGAGCAACATGACGCGGTTTTGTTCCTGAATGAATCAATCGTTTAAGTGATTCGGTTAAATCGCAATGACTCACTTATTAACAGTGACTTGCTGCCACCTACTGGCGGTTTTAATTTCCCATTCAGAGTATCTTGTATTATTTAAATAATTTCAAATATCATTATTCAGAAGATAATGGACAATTAAAAAAAAAAAGGCTTTATAAAGGTCAAAATGCCCATAAAATGTAAAAATCAGTTAAAACTTATTGGAAAAGATTGATTTCTATCAGTGTGTACTGACCACTGCACAGAATATGAAGAATATCAAGTCAGCTGTCCACGGCAGTCCTTAAGATACCAGCACAATAACACACTCAGCAAAATATCGTCTAATTATCATTATCGATAAAATCCCAGAAAATATTGAGATATTTTTTGTTAATATCGCACACCCCTAGTGTATATTATGATATTACTAAATGTGCTCAACTATCAGAAAATGTTCATGCTAAAAGTGTTAACAATTAAAGCAAATTAATGTGCTTTATCAGGAAATGTTTAGGCAAAAAGTCTTAACAATTGAGCTTATCAAGAAAAAAGCCTATTTTCCCATTTGGATAAAAAAAAAAAAAGAGCAGATAATTGTTCATAAAATAAGCTTAATTTTCTTTAAAGTGTATGTATGTATACTTTTTTGTTTTTTTGGACATGTTCAGACCTCATGAACATGTTTTGCAGGAATCGCCCCAAGCAGAACTATGATGTGTTTCATTTAAAATTGTTATTAAATCTGGGTTGCGTAATATCTTTGACCAAAATGCAGATTTGTGAAGAATTTCTAATAAAATGTCCGAATGACTCAGAGGGGCTCAAACGCGGTCTGTACTGACACATTTGCGCTCCTCTGTATTTGGCAGACGGGATCTTACACTTGGAGTGCAAGGTTGAGGAAAGGTCAGCACACATTCACTTCAGGAAGCTCTCGTCTGGGGAGAGAATCACTTAGGAGGGCGGATTAAGTTGCCCTTTGCTGGTGTTATCAGACTGTTTTGTGGCATGTTTCGTAATGGCTGAGGTTAAAGTCGACATACAGAAAACTGATTCTAGGTCAGTGTGAAAGGGCAGCGTTTTTCTCGCATGTCAAAAATGAAGCCAAGTGTCCTCTGGGATCGGATGACTGTGGTTTCGACCTTGACACCTCCAGCCTCCAAACCGCATTCGCTCAGAGTTCAACTTTCATTCACACCTACATAGTTCAGCATTGAGGAACTTTTCAGAGATTTTTTTCTCAATAAATTAGAATGTCGTGGAAAAGTTCATTTATTTCAGTAATTCAACTCAAATTGTGAAACTCATGTATTAAATAAATTCAGTGCACACAGACTGAAGTAGTTTAAGTCTTTGGTCATGCAGAAGCACGTTGCAGTTAAAAGCTACTCCACAAATTTCAGCCTTTTGCTCAGATTTTTTGTGTTTTGGAAAAGCGTTCGACTCTCGCTGAATCTCACAAAACCTGTCGAGAACGTGTCAGAGCCATAGACATAGGCTTTGATTCGAGATCCTTTTTCCCACTGCTTCCTGCGTCATCTACACTGTAGACAAAAGCACAATTTTATTTTCTACTTTAATGTGAAAATAAAAACAATCAACATTCTGAAGTGTTTATACACTACCGTTTAAAAGTTTGTGAAAAGTTTGTGGTCGGGAAGATGTTTTAAATGTTTTTGAGTCTCACCAAGGCTGCATTTATTTGATTAGAAATACAGGAAAAACAGGAAAATTGTGAAATATTAAAATTTTAAATAACTGTATTATTGTAATATATTTTAAAATATAATTTATTCCTATGATGCGCAGCTGAATTTTCAGCATCATTACTCCAGTCTTCAGTGTCACGTGATCCTTCAGAAATCATTCTAATATGCTGATTTGCTGCTCAAGAAACATTTCTGATTTTTATTAATGCTGAAAACAGTTGTGCTATAATGCGGTGCAATGTTTTTGTGGGAAACGTCAAACATTTTATTTTCTTTCATGAATAGAACGTTCAGCAACCTAGTATGAGAGCCTGTTTTAGTACACCCCCAAAACAAAATCAAGACTTTGTAAAAGAGCATAATAGGACCCCTTTAATATATGAGGACACAGTTCTGACACCATAACTTTACTAAAATCATGATTATGCTGACAATGTATCCATATGTCTGCTTTTTCATCCACTGGTAATTTGAGTTCAGTATCTAATAATTGAATAGTCTAATTTTGCACTATTCATTAGTGCATGTTTGTATATTAGTGCAAAAAAGATAATTAAATAAATTTGAATAATTGTTTTCATAATCTTCGATCAAAATATAACAACTTGCTTAACCTTAAAAAAATGGCTGTTTCCAGTCCTGGTCTAATTTTGCACAATTCGTCATCAGTGCATGTTATTAAAATAAAAAACCAACAAATAAATTATATTATTTATTCAATATTGTTTTAAAATCTTAGGATAACATATAATAACTTGCTCCACCTTAAAAAAATTACTTTACTTTTCAATTGAAGTTAACAAATCCTGGTCTAATTTTGCACAATTCATCAATGAAAAAAATAAAATAAAATAAAGTAATGACAATATAAAATAAAATAAACAAATATTATTTAATATTTTTTCATAATCTTTGATCAAATATTAGCTTTCTCCACCTTAAAAAAAATTACTTGCCTTTTTGGCTGATCAATCCTGGTGTGATTTTGCACAATTCATCTGTGCATGTTATTAAAATATAAATAAATACAAATTTATTTAACACAATAAATAAATGTATTATTGTTTTCGTAATCTTTGATCAAAATATAGTAACATGCTTTACCTCCAAAATGACTTTCCCTTTTCTTTTCTCTGATGTTGCCAATTCTTGTCTGATTTTGCTCATTAGCTCATGTTATGTAACACCCACCTTTCCTAATCCAATCAAAACCTAGTATGTAAAACCAAGTCCCGCCCATTTTTTCCCTTGTTGAATATCCAGTTTCACTCCAAAATAATAACTAAAATTGGTTGTAAATATTGTTTCACGCTGACTTTGATGTAAGAAACAAAGTAATCTGCATTTTAATATCTGTGTTCACCTTCATTATTAAATATGCATCTTAATGATAACGGGTTCATACACATTGATCTGGGCTCCATGTTCCAGCAGGTAAATGAGGCAGGCGTGTGTGTTGGGTTGGCTCTGAGCAGTCAGCACCATATGTACAGGTCTGCGTCCATGAGGACAACTGCTATTCACATCCACAAAACCACCATCCTCCAGCAGCAGCTCCATACAGTCCAGATGTCCATGTAGAGCTGCTATATGAAGCACACTGAGACCCTTACACACAAACACACACACTTACATCATACAGTTGCCCCAACAATATCTAGACACTTAAATCAATAGATGAACTGTTTAAAATGAAGACAAAGAGCGTTGCACATATTGCAATGAACTATATCTGACTTCATTCATCCAACCGTGGTCTCATTTTGCATAATTCATCAGTGCATGTTATTTAAAAAAAATTATTTCATATTGTTTTCGTGATCTTTTTTCAAAAATCCTTCCAAAATGTCTCCAAAACTACTTTCCGTTTCAACTGATGTTACCAATCGAGATATACTTGGTTATAATGTTATAAGCCCTAATAGTCTTTTTACTTTTACAGTTATGTAAAACATGTCAGTAAAGATGTTTATGGATGTGAAATTATTCCATAAATATGAACAGTTATGCTTCATAATATATGCTTTATCTTTATCTTATCGCATGGTCATTGGTCATCGAAGTCTATAAATATGTCAAAACTGCTCAACCGTAAATCAAGACTTTTTAAATTAAATAGTCTATATTAATCCAGAATATTTGTGTAGTGTATGATGGAAAATGAAAAAATTGCAGAAATCGCAAGAGTAATAAATGTAGTTTTAAAAGCTCCAGAACATGTGTTACTGCATATATTATTTTAAAATAAACTCCTTGTACATTATGATTATTAATGTAATATTTATCCCCTGCTTATATAAGTTTTGCATGATATTTGTATTACCAGTAAACATTTCACAGAAAAAGAGGAATGAGAGACCCAGCTGACCTCACCAGCACTGGTCATCATCTGCCCTCACTGACAGCTGAACCTTCAATGTAAGTGCCTGGTCAATCTTTAATGTCTAATGTAAAGTGGTTGGAGCTGAATTAATAACAGTGCATTGTGTATGAGTAAATAAAGCACGCACGTGTTTGTCAGTGTGCAGTGGTATCCGCGCTCTCTTCAGAGCCGAACTCAACCACTCACGCGCTCCGCACGCTGCCGCGTGAAACACGTCGCTCTCCGGCGGAAATGCACGAACCCGCC